ATTTATTCACAATTTTAGATCCCTTTGCATGTTTCGTAATGCTTATATCTACGATTTCCGGATATTTATAGAATAATTTAAAAACTTGCCAATAATTTGTGAAGGATGACTCTTGTATTGACAATTTTTTTTTTCTTCCATTTAAGTTAAAATAAGGGCCAGTAGGGCCCCATTCTAGAAGGGGATATTTAAATTATTTATACGATAGGGGCCCTATACTAATTCGTCAAATAAATAGTCAAGATTAACATTTAGATTATGTCCCGTTAAACTAGGTTAGAAAAGAAAAACCTAGAGATATAAAGCGTTTTAAAATATTGCTATCGGCGCCCTTCGGCTGGAGGAGTGGATATTATTTGTTTAGAATCCAGAGCTATTTCAACATGGAATTTTCAGTGCATCATGCCAGGTTTGGCCATATATTCATTAATTCATGTAGAAACTTATATACATATTTTTTTCTTCAAAATCTAAGCCTTATTATATTTAAATAGGTTAGAGGAAGAAAAATGAAATCGGGCCCTGGTGAGACATTTGGTGAATATTAAAAGTTACAAACCGTCTAGTGTTTCTAGTGCATGTGTCCCAAGTTTGATATAGGTCTACACATACAGTGCACGTTTTTATAGCTCCTATAAGACAAGACGAAATTTTGGCGACCCCCCCCCCCTTTTCCCCACGGGACATTAGAAAAAAACAACACATGTTGGGGGTCATCAGAACACGAGGAACTGTATTAAAGGTAAGCGACATTAGGAAGGTTGAGAACCACTGCTTTAATAATTACAGGTTGACAGAATGCTTTTACTGTAATAATATTTATGTTCAGCTTTGGCGGTGTGACCTTCTGTTGTGCTCCTACGATTGTTGGCTGCTAGGCCTCCATTGCCAAGCTATGTCGATTATCTGCCCCTTAATCATTTCTAACAAAGTAATTTAAAAAAAAAAAATTAATAACCTTCATATTACCGTTTAGGTTAAAATTTATGAATTATTTATGCTACACCAGCCCAAGACAACGGGACCACGTCGTGCGTGTATAATGCGGAAACAAGAGCATAATCTATGATGAGATTTCCTGATGGCGACCCGTACCGCCACCAGGGCTTAGTTGTACTGACCCACTCAGAAGAGAGTTGTACTGACCCACTCTGAAGAGAGTTGTACTGACCCACTCTGAAGAGAGTTGTACTGACCCACTCTGAAGAGAGTTGTACTGACCCACTCTGAAGAGAGTTGTACTGACCCACTCTGAAGAGAGTTGTACTGACCCACTCTGAAGAGAGTTGTACTGACCCACTCTGAAGAGAGTTGTACTGACCCACTCTGAAGAGAGTTGTACTGACCCACTCTGAAGAGAGTTGTACTGACCCACTCTGAAGAGAGTTGTACTGACCCACTCTGAAGAGAGTTGTACTGACCCACTCTGAAGAGAGTTGTACTGACCCACTCTGAAGAGAGTTGTACTGACCCACTCTGAAGAGAGTTGTACTGACCCACTCTGAAGAGAGTTGTACTGACCCACTCTGAAGAGAGTTGTACTGACCCACTCTGAAGAGAGTTGTACTGACCCACTCTGAAGAGAGTTGTACTGACCCACTCTGAAGAGAGTTGTACTGACCCACTCTGAAGAGAGTTGTACTGACCCACTCTGAAGAGAGTTGTACTGACCCACTCTGAAGAGAGTTGTACTGACCCACTCTGAAGAGAGTTGTACTGACCCACTCTGAAGAGAGTTGTACTGACCCACTCTGAAGAGAGTTGTACTGACCCACTCTGAAGAGAGTTGTACTGACCCACTCTGAAGAGAGTTGTATTGAACCACTCTGAAGAGAGTTGTATTGAACCACTCTGAAGAGAGTTGTACTGACCCACTCTTAAGAGAGTTGTACTGACCCACTCTGAAGAGAGTTGTACTGACCCACTCTATAGAGAGTTGTACTGACCCACTCTGTAGAGAGTTGTACTGACCCACTCTGTAGAGAGTTGTACTGACCCACTCTGTAGAGAGTTGTACTGACCCACTCTGTAGAGAGTTGTACTGACCCACTCTGTAGAGAGTTGTACCGACCCACTCTGTAGAGAGTTGTACTGACCCACTCTGTAGAGAGAGGGTGGGGACGGGTAATACAGGTGTTCTGATCAGTGATCGGTCGTTGTAGAGAGAGGGTGGGGACGGGTAAGACAGCTGTTCTGATCAGTGATCGGTCGTTGTAGAGAGAGGGTGGGGACGGGTAATACAGGTGTTCTGATCAGTGATCGGTCGTTCCGTTTGATTAGGTCAGTCATCGGTGACGTTGATCGGTTAGGTCGTTGCTTGTTTCCAGTTCGGTGTGTTTGGGTGCCAATACAAAACTAGAGTCAGTTGTGATACAGTACACATGATATAGCATGACACTAAACCGATGACTGATAAAAAATCATGATATATCATGACACTAAACCGATGATATATTCTGATAAAAAATCATGATACATCATGATGCAAACTATGGTCTATTCTGATACAATATTTCGTGATATATTATGATACTAAACCAATGATATTTTCGGATACAATGCTCATGATATATCATGATACAAAATCAATATTATATTCTTATACAATACTCATGATATATCATGATACAAAAACAAAGTTATATTCTGATGCAATACGCATGATATATTATGATACTAAATCAATGTTATTTCTGATAAAATACTCATGAAATATATGATACAAACTATGGTGTATTCTGGTACAATAAAATTATATATCATGATACAAACTATGTTCTATTAAGATAGAATACTCATAATATATCATGATACAAAACTGATGATATTATGAAACAAAATAAATTATAAAGGGTAATACAGCACTAATAATGGTTTATTTTACAATACCAATAATATAGGCTCATACCACACAAATGATATAGGATCATACCTATCTCATGATATAGGATCATACCACACTAATGATATAGGATCATACCTATCTCATGATATAGGATCATACCACACTAATAATATAGAATCATACCAAACTAATTGTGTAGGATCATACCACACTAATGATATATGATCATACCACACTAATTGTATAGGATCATACCTATCTCATGATATAGGATCATACCACACTAATTGTATAGGATCATACCACACTAATGATATAGGATCATACCACACTAATTGTATAGGATCATACCACACTAATTGTATAGGATCATACCACACTAATGATATAGGATCATAGCACACTAATGATACTTGTCTCTCGTAATTACGAACGGGAACAATCTGTCAGCCCATTAGCATGCACACATTTTTTATGCTGGTACGGGCATAAAACTGAAAGACGGATGATCGGATCACTTTGTTGGTACGCTTGACGTGGCTTAGGGCACTTTGCCTTGGGTTCCTGCTGCAGCCCGCATGTTGTACGAGTTAAGGGAGCTCTATAAAAAGGGAGGTTCACCTGAGACAAATGCCATGGTCGTTTATGTTTGTGTATGTCAACGCCCAGCTCTCACCATCTGTGGAGGGAGATAGTTTGGTGTGTTCATCCGATCTGTAAGAGACGTTTTTAAAAAAAAAAATTAAAAAAATTTAAAAAAAACCCATCAACAATGGATTGGAATTATTGCTACTTAAAAGTTAGGTTTAAATTTGAACTTTTGACACTAAAAACAAGTAAATTTTGAATTTTAGAGGAAAAAAATGACTGTAAAATTAGTATTGAGACGGCTTGTCTCCCTTAGAGATAGGGGAAATATAGCGCATATAAATGAGAGTATACCAGCAATAAAATTCATGAGGGCAGTGATGACACAGGCTGATCGCTTAGCTTTGTGTGTCTGTACTTTGTACATGAATTAGTGTGTGTGTAGTTTCCTGTGGTGCGTGTGTGAGTAGTTCGTGTAATTTGCGTGTGTGTTTTGTGTGTAGATTCTGTTGTGTGTATAGTTTCTGTTGTGTGTAGATTCTGTTGTGTTTCTTCATTCTGTCGTGTGTAGATTCTGTTGTGGATCATCATTCTGTTGTGTGTAGATCCTGTTGTGTGTCATCATTCTGTTGTGTGTAGATTCTGTTGTGTGTCATCATCTGTTGTGTGTAGATCCTTTTGTGTGTCAACAATCTGTTGTGTGTAGATTCTGTTGTGTGTCATCATTCTGTCGTGTGTAGATCCTGTTGTGTGTCATCATTCTGTTGTGTGTAGAACCTGTTGTGTGTCATCATTCTGTTGTGTGTAGATCCTGTTGTGTGTCATCATTCTGTTGTGTGTAGATCCTGTTGTGTGCCTTCATTCTGTTGTGTGTAGATTCTGTTGTGTGTCTTCATTCTGTTTTGTGTGTATTCTGTTGAGTGTGTAGATTCTTTTGTGTGTAGCTTCTGTTGTGTAAGTAGCTTCTGTTGTATGTTTAGATTCTGTTGTGTGTAGCTTCTGTTGTGTGTGTAGTCTCTGTTGTGTGTGTAGTTTCTGCTTGTATGTAGCCTCTGTTGTGTGTGTAGCCTCTGTTGTGTGTGTAGCCTCTGTTGAGTGTGTAGCCTCTGTTGTGTGTGTAGTTTCTGTTTTGTATCTAGCCTCTGTTGTGTGTGTAGCCTCTGTTGTGTGTGTAGTTTCTGCTTTGTATGTGGCCTCTGTTGTTTGTGTAGTTTCTGTTTTCTATGTAGCCTCTGTTGTGTGTGTAGCCTCTGTTGTATGTGTAGTTTCTGTTTTGTATGTGGCCTCTGTTGTGTGTGTAGTTTCTGTTTTGTATGTAGCATCTGTTGTTTGTGTAGTTTCTGTTTTGTTTGTAGCCTCTGCTGTGCATGTAGCCTCTGTTGTGTGTGTAGTTTCTGTTTTGTGTGTAGCCTCTGTTGTGCGTGTAGTTTCTGTAGTGTGTGTAGCCTCTTTGGTGTATGTGTAGTTTGTGTTGTGTGCTTCTTTATGTGCCGTTTCTTTGCTGTGTGTAATTACTCATCAGATTTTTTTTTCATTAACCTCCTTCTTTCAAATCTTTCTACAGTTCAGTTACTTCCAGTTTGAGCGTCGTCTGAAGCGATCCTCAAAGGGTTTCCACCTTGTCCCCTAGTAAAATGTTCCTGGTGTTGTTGTCGCTGCTTTTGGCTCACATTCCAACAGCCTTGACCTTCCTGATCGGGAACGTTCAGACGTCCCCCTTCACGGGACCAGGCTTTAGGGAGGAAGGACACTTCAGATATGCTGCTGTTGCGTCCAACACACACATTTGTTCACAAGTCGGCACGTAAGGATAATAGATGATAAACATTTAATAACACACATTGACGCACATATTGCTCTTGGTTACCTTTATAATGTATTTGAAATGTAACTAGTTACTATAAATTTGCAGTCCATAAAAGATTAGATTAAATGGATGGAATTTTCGATGATAAATAAATATATATTTCTCATAACTTAAATAAATTTCTAATAAACAAATGTTAGGATAGAGAAATGTCTACGATTCTTGAGCACATAATTTCGAGCTCGGAATTAACCATATAAAAATCAATTCGGCGTTACTGCAACTATGGCATTATTTACACTTCTTGAAAAAAGCCATTCTTATAGACTAAATGGCCCCTAAAAGAAGAAAACAAAAAAAGTAGGGATATGTTACAAATGTAGATATTTATATAGGGCAAATTTGTACATCAGGCCATTTAACACGATATTTCCGTAACAAGGACATTTTTTTAACACTTCCAGAGAAATCATGGCCAAGAATGGGGGCAGTGCTGCTGACGCGGCCATAGCCACGCTGCTATGTGTTGGGATGGCCAGGTTCCACAGCAGCGGTCTGGGAGGCGACAGTGTTTGGACACTCTACCACAAGTACGTATGTCTCGAACGTGTCAGGGATAGATTACATATAAAACAAGGATGCTGGGGTAGAGAAGGTGTTCAGGATCTGGTAACTCACTGTACTAGCAGAATTAAGCCTGGTAACTCACTGTACTAGCAGAATAAAGCTTGGTAACTCACTTTACCAACACTATAAAGCTTGTAAACAAGCCGAGTCTTCAATAACGGTCTCCAACTGGTTGCACGAAAGGTTCGCTGCTGTGTCGCAAGATATAGTTATAGAGGAATACAATCTGTTGCAGTGGCGTAGCGAGGGTGTTTGGCGCCCGGGGACAAGATTGGCGCCCGGGGACAAGATCCATTTTAAAGCGCCCTCTTTTTTTCAACTCTCAAACCCATTATTTTTACCAATAATATTATATCAAATCACATTTTAGCGCCCCTAACTAGCTTGCGCCGGGGACATCTGCCCCCCCCCCCCATCGCTACGCCTCTGATCTGTTGTTACTGGTAACATATGTTTTACTACTTTACTTCAAAAGTAAGATATGGGCTACAGTATAATCATATTATACAATCTTATAATATTGTAAGGGACCTTGCTTACACTCCGACAAACTTCATCTCTCTGGTGCTCAATAAGTAAACAACTCCGGTGATACATTGGATCATTAAACTCGTGTTCTTTATTTGATCTATCACTTGCTTACTCTATCACTCATCTTCCAACTCTGACTTCTCCCTGCTCTGACTTCTCCCTGCTCTCCCTCTAGTCCGTCCACCTTCTTCCCTATTTATACCTCCCAGTCCAGATTATACCCCGCCCCCTTCTCCATTGTCGGTCTAGACGTCCCAGGTAAATGCCCTGGTCAGATGGATGGTCGTGTCTGGGTGTCAGACGGCCGTAATTGGTCAGGCGTTTGATCCTTGGGTCCGTCGTGCTCCACAAGCTTGATCCTTCGGTTTTACAAACAGCTCACAGTAATACACATGACGTCATTCGCTTTGGTTCTAATACGTCTCCTTGTGTAAAACAATCCTACCCGTCGTCCTACCTTCGACTACGACTATTGAATTCAACGGACCCTCAACCGTGGTCTCCTAAACAGTTGTGGTTAAGGTCAGAGTCAGTTTGAGCGCCTAGTACATTCACTCCAATCAACAATTATGATTGTACAACAACTAGATCAAGCATAATACATCATCTTGAAACTTAATTAATAGTACAGCATTAAGATATACATTTAAAAACTATATTAAACAAAATTCAAAGCAAAAGCAGTTATTGTGGTCGGTATACATTCACAAGTACTTAAAGTTATACACAAAAAAAAAACTTCAACTCGAATTAACAATAATTATGTCATAATTATTACATGTTATACACATTATGTTACCGATTCAACTCTGGAGTTCATATGTCTGGAGATAAATTAACACAACATTAGTTAGCTTTACATCTTCCCAAAAAAAAATAATTGCATGTCATTCCCTACAATCTAGGTGTCCAAAATGTCTTCACTCTAAGCTTCTTGCAGAACGCGTGGAAGCTCCGGAGTAGCTCCCATCAAGTTGTCTCTCAGGCAAATTGTTTGTAACTTTAAAATCCAGTCGGGTGGATTATTGTCATAATAGGGTTTCAATCGGTCGTGATGAATTATTCTTGCCCTCGTCTTTCCCTCTCCTCGAATTTCAAATAACACATCACTAAATTTTCGACTGACAACGAATGGTCCGCGCCATTTATTTGGGTTCAATTTTGGATTTCGACCCACCTGTTTGGTTAAGTCCAAATAGAGAACCACGTCCCCCACGTTGAAGCTATGTTGTACTGCCCGAGTATCGTGGTCCCTTTTCTGACGCTGAGCTGCTGTCTTAAGATGTTTCCTGGCTGAACTGTTGGCTTGGGGGCGTTTGATGTGCTGACATGTGGCACAGTTGGTGATGAACGTTTGCACATCCCTTTTCATTCTGTACCAACTGTAGTATGTCCTGACATTATCCAATACCTTATTTATGCCGAGATGGCCAGCATAAACTGACGAGTGCATTTTCTTTAACACTGTGCTTACAAGAGATCTAGGCAACATAATTTTCAATATTTCATCCTTCCGACCCGGATGAAACCATCGTTTACATAAAACTCCATCCACAACAATAAGTAAATCAAGGTTTAACCAAAGGTTCCTAACAGCCGGCGATTCTCCACTAATTTCCTCTCTTTTTGGTTTTGTTTTGTCTTTGATCCACTTAAAAACATGACTCAAGTCATTATCTTCCTGTTGTAATCTTCTCAGATCTTCCTTGGATATGTCTAACCCTTCAAAGAATTTATAGTCACTATTGTCTGCACAAAACACTGCAACCGGCTCTCGGTCAGCATTCCGATCATTTCTGTTTGATGTCGACTCAGGGCAAGGTAATTGGATAGGTTGGCTTGGTACGAGGGGCGTGTCCACAGGGCAGTTTGCTCGACCAGTATCACTTGTGGTTGCTCCTCCGGGCGAGGGCTTAGGTGGGTTCACGGGAGGATACGTTTTACTGCGAGTCGTCACCATGTTGATTTTCACAACAGCTGCTGCTGGCAACTGGTTACTAGTGGTGGATAATGGAATGATGTCCTCTTCCTCATTGAGATCACCGTTTTCTACCAACGAATAAGACTGGTCCTGTTGAGTCACTGAATTTACACATTTTGTTATTACTGGCACCTTGTCTCTATGTAGGTTGAGACCCCTTTTGATTGAAAATGAAAAGTCATAGTGACATAGGAAATCGAATCCTAGATAACCATCGTCGGTTATGTCTGCGATATGCACCGTCCATGGATAAATCTTCTCTCCAATAAGCAAGTCTAGGTCGCAGACTCCATGGAGTTTTATAGACGTACCACTGGCTGACTGTAGATGTAATGGGACGAGGTGGGTATTCAACTTCGGTCTCTGCTGCATTCTATTAAAAGCTCTCTTGGACAAAATTGTCACGGCCGCTCCAGTGTCCATGAGGAAATCTGTCCTAACGCCGCACACTTTCACAGGCACAAACACAAAATTTGGACGAAGGTTGTGAACATTTGACTTCGATGAGATGTGATTTAGTTTTAACGACGAAGATTTCGTCCTAATGGTCTCTTGGTTTGGGCAATTCCGTGAAATATGACCGATTCGGTCACAGCCAAAACACCTGGGTTCCGCCATCCGATTATCTCTCCCTTCACGCACCGGCTGAGTAACTGCCCCTCGCTGTGAGGCGATGAATTCCCTAAGGTCCTCTCTCAGGCCGCTTATCTCTCTGGCCAAGTGGTCGGTAGCTATTGATGCTACTTGCTGTGTTGGTAAACAAACGTTGTCCCTCAGATTTAAGATTGTATCCAAGGCAGCTCTCGCCTTGTCCACGGTGGGAGGAACAGCCATAGTGCCAACTTGTATCGCCATAGACTGGTCAGGCAGCCCACGTAAGAACTGTTTAAACCCAATGGCATCTCTTGTAGCCTGGTCTGCCATTGGGAAGCTTTTTGTAACCAATCTCTTGAGGTCTGTAGCGTACTCAGCTGTAGTCTCTGATTTCAAGAACGTGCGTTTGTCTAAAACATTTTGAAAGAATGCAGGTGTTCGATGGTCCTTAAACCGATTAGCCAGGGCATCCTTGAGTTTCTCGTAGCTGTCCCTCTCAGCTTCGCTTAATTCGCTGTACGCAAATTCCGCAGCTGCATCCTTCAGTGAAAAACAGAGATAGAGGAGCTTGTCGTCATCACTCCACTTAAAAATTCTTGCCGAGGTCTCAAATTGCACGATAAACGTGTGCCATGTAGACGTTCCACTGTACGTTGGGATGTTGTGTGCGTGCTGTGAAGACATTGTGCTTGCTGTCAATCTTCCGCTCCTTGTACCTTGCATTTAGTCAGGCTAACGAGAATGTACGTCTCTTCGGAGTCGTTGCAAGGTTAAGAATCCCACCGCTGCCACCATTTGTAAGGGACCTTGCTTACACTCCGACAAACTTCATCTCTCTGGTGCTCAATAAGTAAACAACTCCGGTGATACATTGGATCATTAAACTCGTGTTCTTTATTTGATCTATCACTTGCTTACTCTATCACTCATCTTCCAACTCTGACTTCTCCCTGCTCTGACTTCTCCCTGCTCTCCCTCTAGTCCGTCCACCTTCTTCCCTATTTATACCTCCCAGTCCAGATTATACCCCGCCCCCTTCTCCATTGTCGGTCTAGACGTCCCAGGTAAATGCCCTGGTCAGATGGATGGTCGTGTCTGGGTGTCAGACGGCCGTAATTGGTCAGGCGTTTGATCCTTGGGTCCGTCGTGCTCCACAAGCTTGATCCTTCGGTCAGACGGATTACGTCAGAGACGGCGCTCGTGCGTGGTCACAAGCTTGGGTGGTCAGACAGATTACGTCAGGCGCGGTCCGACTCTCCACAAGCTTGGGTGGTCAGCGAACTCTCCACAATACTAAGCTCTCCAGGTTTGATGATAAAATAGAACGATCGATGTAGAATCGATTGAAATGAATGTTGAAAGAAAAAAGTGCTGATCCTTTAAGTTGAAGATGTATCCGAAACATACAATTGAACTCAACACCGTTACATTGGTAGCTAATAAATTATGCCGGCTACGGTGGTCATCACAATGGTGAGCACGGTATTGGCGCAGGTGAACTTAATAATGACTCCCTACAAACTACTCTACATCGCTATGTGGGTTGACTGGTACCCGAACAGATGGTGTGTTTTTTTCCTACAAATTTTGGCAGCCCTATGTGTAAATTCAAGAGGTTAACATGTTAAAATGAAATTAGCGTAGCCGTAAACAGAACTAGCTACTGGGTTACCATCCTCGCATACTATCCAAAAATCTATCCGCCATAGTGACATGTGGGTGCTGGGGTTGGTGTTGGGGGGGGGGGTACCTAAACTCTAGCCACTACCACTTGCATCCGCCCCTGCATAAACACTACCACTCAACTGGGGCGTTGTCCATTGTCCGGATTTGAACCGGACAGGTAAGTGTTTCAGC